CCACTAACCCACAAATCTTTGGAGGGTTCTATTATGACTTAAACAGACCTTGGGTTCAGCGGCTGCCAAACCACTCGTTCCGCCCACGTCTGACCGAAAGATATTGCGTACCAACGACGGTCTCCGCGCCAACCCTGCATACCGGGTACCGATGACACAGGCGCTACCCTCGCTGGCTACTTTGAGGCCCTATTCAACTCTACAAACCCGTACGTGGTTCCACCGGATACCGAACCCTCTCCTGATGTCACTTCCACCATACGCCCCGACGATGTAATGGAGGCAATACTACGCTATCCCAATAAGGGACCTGGCCCCGACGGAATCCACATCCTCCTCCTGAAGGCCGCAGTGGAGCGCTCTACCGAACGCCGGACATTGGGACGCCCCGACGCCAATAGCCCACTGATTAGACTCCTTGCCGAAGCTTTCACTGAGCTACTGAAGGCGGGTACCTTCCCCGCAGCCCTGAACTGCAGCCTCCTAACAGCGCACCCAAAGAAAGCCGATGCAGATATCACCTCCCCGCCGACTTCCGCCCCATCACGCTTACGCAAATAGTCAGACGCATCTTTGAAAAGTGCTTTCTTAATCTGATTACGAGCCACCCCGGCTCTGCTACCCATGCTACCCAAGCTGGCTTCAAATCACGGTACTCCTGTCATACCCAAGCACTTGCCGCCATGTAATCTGAGACACAGTCAGAAGAGGAGTGGAACGACGTCTGTCTAAATATAACCATGGCATACGACAAGGTCGCTCTTCCACACCTATGGGTACTTCTGCGTCACGCTGGAATGCCCGAAAACTGTATCAACTGCCTCCGTGCGCTGTTTGAGAGGGTCCCTACCCGAGTGACATACCGCGGCACGCTCTCGTCTCTATTCCTTAGAACGAATGGCATCCTACAAGGCTCAATCGTCGGTCCCCAGCTCTTTATTATCTACATGGATTCCTTAGCTGTCATGCTAGCACAATTTCGGCCCAAGCTCCTCCGTTCTTATTTATTTGTCGATGACACACGGATCCAAGCCCCTCGATCCGTTTCGCTTCAGCCCTTCTTAGATGACATTGATGCGTGGGGACGCAAATCTGGCCTCGAACAGGGTGTCATTAAACCCCGAGTACGATCTACCGACTTGCGACACGCGGCGCCAACCCTCCGTATAAATGGTGAGCTTATCACGCCGACGCTTGCAGACGCACCTTGGAACACACGTTACCTCCTCCTGAAACTGACGCCCACACATGCCGAACCGAAACACTCCAAATACCTGGGGTTCCCACTCTCTTACGGAGTACCAGAAATCAACCTCGCTAGACATATGGAATCCCTGGTTGCAGCATTGTCACTGGGTATCGCCTCTTTCCGCGCTGATGGCTTCCATGGCTTCAGCTGGCGACACCCCCGCAACCGACTGGTGATGTTCAAAACATTCATCCTATCCACGGCTACATATGGGCTGAACATTATTGCCTGGGCTTCGCCTATATGGAAGAATGCGTAGGACCCCCTATTCGAGCGCTTTAACTCAGCACTCATTCAAGCAGCAGCCATCATCACGGGCACTAAATACCCTCGGTTTCCCAAACATCAAACAAACTTACTTCACTTTTGCGGCCTGCTCCCCGCGGGATCATTCGCGGACTACCTCGGAGGTTGCCTGGGAATACAACTCGACTCAATTGTAAGCACAAATCCACTTACCCCTCTGACGCAACCCGCCTGGGCCCACGATAAACCATCACTGCGCTTCCAGTACAGTATCTATGCTCACCTGAAAACTGTACACAAAACCACGGGCGGGCGTACACCCGACCATGTAGCCCTCCGCCAACGCTGTGACGACATCAGGAAGAACTCAACAAAACGTTGGTCCAACAAGGAGATCGCGGCAATGGTCCGGCGCCAATACTACTACCAACTGGTCATGGGTGAACCACCAACCTCAAATCGGGACAAAGCCAGACACAACAGCTTCAACTGCTGCTGCGAGCCTCTACGTACATGTCCACATCTGCCCCGGTGGCCACTACCAGCCACTTTACCTGCAACCAACAATTGATTCGACGCATCCTGGTAGGTCCGAAACTGCCGTTCATTATTCTTGACCTCCCCCAGATATTACACTTCCACGACATCTGGACCCTCCACGAGGCCAACCAGCACATACCGAGTGCATCCGTGGTCTGGTGCGGCATTGGCTCATCTCCAACCTGGCTCCTCGACCGAATTATGACGGTTCTCTTAATCCGGTAAAACGAACACGCCTTCATATCGTTTCTAAGCTTCTCTTCAATCAGGTACGAAAACCATAATTTTTACTATACCTATGTAATAGGATTATCACATGAAAGCCGCACCTCTGTTTTCTTTGGCTGTATTCGCGAGGGAGAATTATGAACAGATTACTATTGATGTCTTTCCCGGCAATCGAGCAACCCGAGATGCTATTATATACCTTTTTGAATAAACATCGATTGAGACTTCTGTGCGCTAGACTTGAAAGTTGCTGTCCAGAACGCACAGCTTTTGCTTGTGTGGACAGTGTGGACAGTTTGAACTGTGAACTGTGTGGACAGTTTGAACTGTGAACTGTGAACTGTGACGTCTGTTGGGTGTCACGAGAAACTTTACGCGCCAAAACGTTGGCTATCATGTACTGTAAAATGTAATGTATTTTTATTAAAAAAAAAAGTTCAATTGAATCCGGGCCGCTCCTGATCAACCCATATTGACTAAAATATTTACAATCAATACAAGCGAGGGACATATGAAATAACAGACCAACAGCGAGGGAATGCCCAAGTAAGTATATATTTATTCACACAGCTATATAGTTCTATAAAACAGTACTCACCGACGACCCTAAATACAACAAGCACGTGAGCAAATTTGGAATACAACGAGCGCGTTTGTGACAAAATGGCGAGAAACGAAGAGAAGGCACAATCTACGCTGTCTCGTTTCAGAGCGGCAGTCAATAGCATAGCCAACGGACCGGCTGTCACACGACCATATCTCGCAACAGAATGTCACGATGGCACAGAGTGCGAGAAGTGGCGGAGGCAAATTCTTAAAGAGATCAGCAAAAAAGTGTCCCAGATACAAAACTGTAAGTATTTTTATTGGAGTTCTTTACTTCTAAGCTGTTTGCTTCTCAACTATGCACATAAATTTATTTACTTTCAGAATAAGAATGTTGGAGTTTATGTTAAGAACTCCGGGCGGCATTAGTCTGTCTGTCCGTAGGTAACCCAGGTTCAAGGGTTGCACTTATTGTGTAAGGCTCAGGCGGGTATTCTCGGCATCAGGCTATGTTTGAGCTATAGTGCACTGTCTCATATGAGTTTCCACCATCATGAACAGCTGCTTTGGGCGAGTTTCGCATACGTGACTTGAACGATGAGATTAATCGTTTACTACGAGAGAAAGGCCACTGGCAAGACCGAATTGTAGAACTTGGGGGTCCAAACTACTGGAAAATTGGTATGTTTCTAAAGTAGCATTCTGTCAATATATATACACACACACACACACACACACACAAACACACAGATTTTTATATATGTATATATATCTACACCCGTA